CTGTGGGGCGTTCAAGTCGACAGTGTCGCCCGAGTCAGCCTCGACCCCGCTTAGCTCCAGGCAGCTGAAGACGTTGCTCACACGATGTGACACCACACCTGCCAAGTATCGCAATGCTCATTTATTTATCGTCGTACAAACACTTATCATCTGATTGATTTCGAAGCGCTGTCAACCTATACCCCTGAATATTTACTCTTCTCGAATCAACCCCTAGCTGCACCTTGTGTAGCCATGGCAGAGACAATAGGCCTGATTGCAAGTGTTCTACAACTGGCTGGTACAGGCCTGAAGCTTTCGCAGGCGCTGTATGAGTATGCGGATGCTGTGGCCTCTGCGGACCGTAGAATCAGGGATATCGCGAAGGAGGTCAGGCTCACAAGTTTCGTCATTGAAGAGCTGGGCAGTGTTTTCAGGCAAGATGACACGTCAAGCGTTATTTCAGACAAAGCAGTCCAGACAGCAAATGAGACCATGGAAGAATGCTCTGTCTTCTTTACAGAGATCGAAGTAACGCTGAACAAAAGCAAGAAGGGGAAATTCGGTCGTCTATTGTTGCCCTTCCGAGACAGCAAAATCGAATTACTGCGGAGCCACATTGACAAGCTCAAGAGTACGCTGCAGCTCTTGATGCAAGTGCTCACACATGCTTATCAAGTATGGGCGATGAAGATTGACCGCGAAGCTGAAGAAAAACAAAGGGAAGAGATTAGACAGTTGTTAGAGAACAAGAAGAATTCTACGAAAAGATGGGAAGAGTCGCTGAGAAACTTAAGTATCAGCGATAGCAGCACTGCCGTCGATGAGGATGAGCGTTCAATTGACGAAGAAGATGGGCCTACTTTCGGAATGGTTACGATTGGTTCAACCATGACACGTGAAACTCTTGTCCTCTGCGTAGACAGCGTTCGGACCCTACTGGAAGACATCAAGATTTTGGAGCAAGTTATCTCCAGTAATACCCCTGGAGATGACTGTTCAGAAGACCATCAGAGGGCTGTCGGGTCTTACTTCCGCGCTCGCTCTCAACTCGATTCCGTTCTGCTGGGCGGTAACTCGGACAGTCTCAGGAACAATAGCAATAAAAATGTGGAAGTAAGGCTTAGTTCCAGCTTATACGGTAGCACGAACTCGCTGCGAAAGGAGGGCGTCTCTCACAACATTCCACTTCAGCTGCCATCTCAGACCAGCACCCATACTACCCATTCCTCATCCAAACTTGTATACTATGGGCATCATAAACTTGGTGCAGCAGACTCGCATGTCGCGCAGGCAGGGAAATTGCATGACCAGCATCAGATCCGAAATTCGATTCCTAAATCACCACCCATGAATTTAGGTGGAGCAAAGCGGCGGAGGACACCCCAGGTAGCCCCACACAAGCCTGTCTCTCACAGCTTGCCTAGCTCTTCCTCTCATGGGAGTCCCCATAAGCGGCCATATATTCCGACATCGGCGATATATCCGCCAGAAAATTCCATGAATGCGCATACATCTCCTGGATATGCACTTACATCGCCTTCTCATGAGGCTACCGATGAACAAACATATATACCCATATCACCTACATGGGCGCCCACATCGCCTGGATATGCGCCTACATCACCACTGTTGAGCCCTGGTTATAGTCCAGCGTCACCTGCTTACAGCCCTACATCCCCTATGTCGCCTGGGTACAGCCCTACGTCAGATACGAACATGCCCGATAGAAATACAACCGAACCTAATATAGAGACAACCTCGCCATCAATCAGCAGCCATGCCCCGGCAACGGCGTCCACGATGCCAACTTCCGAGCATCCCAATCAAGAAGATAAACTCACAACCACACAAGAGACTACAGTCTCGATTATAAAGGGCGATGAAGTCCGTCACTTATCAGACGCCACGATCGAATACACGCTCATGGACGATGATCTTGGTCTTGATCTCGGTGACGATGTTGAAGTCGTGGATGTAGATACAAGCGGGGCTGCTACTGAGAAAGAAAAGAAGAACTCTGACAATACTAGGGGAGACGAGATTGACGAATTACTACGAGAATGGACAAAGGTACACATGTGATGAAAATTGGCAGGAACAAGAGAGAAAAGCAACCCACGTATATACACACAATCAATGAAACCTTACTCTTGTTTCTACCTGCCCATTGGTAACTACAGTACAACATGCAACATCTAAAACACCTCCAACCTCTACAGTACTTTCCCCGTTCCACCCACGGATGACATCACCCATCACCCTGAAATCCCACCCCCACAACCCGAGTAAGCACCCCCTACCCCATCCCGACATCACCCGACACCCAGTCCAAAATCTCTCCTGCCAACCTGGGTACTCTATCCGCCGCCGCCGTCGGCGTCCCCATACCGTATATCCGTCTCTCTCTGTTTCGCCCGCAAAAAAAATCCACAAACATCCCTGCTTCCACGAAAACGCGTCGTCGCGTCGTCGCTGCGGCCGGCACACGCAATGTGTACTGACTGGCCGGACGGGCCGTCAACCTGCTTTTACTTGTGATTGCTGACAAGAGTATTCTCGTCATGCCATATCATGATAAAGGGTAAGGGTGCAACACATGCTCGCCGCGCTTCGCACTCGCACTCTCGGAACGCTTGCGTAGAAAAGTGGCGGCGGGCGGGACAAGGGTATCCATCCATCATCAGGGACTAGAAGGCGTGTGGGTAATAAAAAAAGCTTCCATTGTTACATATTTTACTTTTTACGCCATGCGTGGAGCCACGTGGTGAGATGTGTTTATTTTGTTTTTCTGGGGCCAGGGACGAGGCTCGTGGCGTGTTATCTTGTTTCAGATCTGGGTTTGAGTTGGTGTTGCTTTTTTCTCTGCGTGAAGGGTAAGCTGGGCTTCGTGGGCTTACTCTGTGAGATTGGAGGGCATGGCGGGGCAAAGTTTTGGTGTGGGGCGCGTGCGTGTGGGTAAGTCATGGATGGTGACGTGACGTGACGTGACTTTGAGAGTCATATCCGTGGCACGGACTTGCATATGTTGTAATGGATAGTGTGTCTGACAGGTATAAAAATGCTGTCACAGTGTGTGAAGTTATGGGGTTTGGGAATATCGGATTCAATTCATTTCAAGAGGTATCTATGTACAAGGGGAAGCTTCCTGCTTCCGAACGCCATGTAAAAAAGGTCAAAGGTATCATATACAAAAATGCAGCCTAGCCGGGACGGACTCTTCACCACCAGTCACCTTGGTCGTGCATAGCGGCAGCGACCTTGCGGAAACCAGCGACGTTGGCACCACCGACGAGGGATGGGAACTCTCCCTCAGCTGGGGTGAAGTACTCCTTTGCCGTGCTGAGGCAGTTCTCGAAGCAGTCCTTCATGATGCCCTTGAGTTTCTCGTCGACCTGCTCAGCGGTCCAGGACAGACGCTGGGAGTTCTGGGCCATCTCGAGACCAGAGACGGCGACACCTCCAGCATTGGCGGCCTTGCCTGGTGCGTACCAGATGGCATCACCCTTCTTCTCGCGGCGGTGGGCCTCGAAGACCTCGATGGCCTCTTGTGTGCAGCCCATGTTGGAGCCTTCAGCGATGTACTTGGCACCTGACTCAATAAGAGCCTTAGCCTCGTCTTCGGAAACCTCGTTCTGGGTCGCGGAGGGAAGAGCGACATCGACCTTGTTGACCTCCTTCCATGGGCGAGCTCCCTCAATGTACTTGAAGTTGTGGTTCTCGAGCGCGGTAAGAGCCTTGCGCTCCAACTTGAGGGCGGCAATCTGGTTGATGATCTCAGGGGTAAAGCCCTTGTCGTCCTCAGCAATCAGCGCACCCTTGCTGTCGCTGAGAGAGATGACGGTTCCGCCAAGCTCAATGATCTTGAGCGCAGCGTACTGTGCGACGTTTCCGGAACCAGAAAGGGCGACGCGCTTGCCGGCGAAGGACTCTTTTCCGCCCGAGGCATAGTTGATCATGTGCTCAACGTAGTAGACGAGACCGTAACCGGTGGCTTCAGGACGGATCAGGCTACCTCCCCAGGAGCCTCCCTTTCCAGTGAGGACGCCCTCCCAGCGGTTGCGCTCTGCTCGGTATGCGCCAAAGAGGTAGCCGATCTCGCGACCACCGACGCCGATGTCGCCCGCGGGTACGTCCGTGTCGGCACCTGTAGTTTACGTAAGTAGATGTTCTTGTAATGAACCATCGCAAGCGTCGCCCATGGTGCAATGCCTAACAGACGGAAAGATAAGGCGAGATAGACGCGCCAGATCTGAGGCTGTACAGGATGCATGCCCCACTACGGGGATTCCAAGGGTCGCGCTAAAGGAAAGACGTACCAATGTGCTTGTTGAGTTCCCTCATGAATGCAACGCAGAACTTGCGGATCTCGTTGTCGGACTTGCCCTTGGGGTCGAAGTCGCAACCTCCCTTGCCACCACCCATGTTGACTAAACTCTATATTAGTTTTGCACTTTGAAGTGGATTGATGGGGTAGAACGTACGGCCAGTGAGGGCATTCTTGAAGATTTGCTCGAAACCCAAGAACTTGAGGATAGATAGGTTGACGGTAGGGTGGAAGCGCAGACCGCCCTTGTAGGGGCCGAGTGCAGAGTTGAATTGCACACGGTAGCCCTTCTGGACCTGGCACTCGCCCTTGTCGTTCTCCCAGACTACGCGGAACTGGATGATGCGTTCAGGGACGGAGACGACTTCAAGAGCCTTCTTGTACTCGGGGTTCTTGGAGAAGAGGGATGAAGCCTCAAGGGTGGAGACGAGCTCTGTGAGGGCATTAGTTGGGAAATCGAGAATTAGACAAGTCAATTGAGCCGTATTAGATGCTCAAGGACAGGTTAGGCACAAAAGGTCTGAACGTACCCTTCCTGGCTTGCTCAAACTCAGGCTCGGACATTGTGAAGTTGGACTGGAGTATCTTGGTAAATTTGATGTAAAAAGCAAACACACAAGTCAAGAGGGGACTTTGAGAGTAAAGCAGTAGCAAGTTGACAGGTAAAGCAAAAGCAGAGAGTCTATGGTATATATAATAGCAGTTCCAGGAAGCTAGGATCCGTTTGCCGCTGGCGGGATGTTGTCGCAGTTACGGTAAAGCAGAAAGTCGGACTCGATTTCAGTACGTCAGAGGCCGGGAGATTGGCAGCGTCGACCCATCTCAGTGGTCGATGGCTCTTCGTGCACGCCATGTTGATGCAAACTATGGTGTACACTTTTCCCACTGATAAGGATCTGTCCAATGAGAACACGAGGTCGTGGATCGCGGGGTGTTTTCACGTGTGAAGCCGGGCTCCGGCCACTGCAGGCTCGTGGCGGCCGTGTAATTGAAGAGGGTCAATCCATGGGAGGCGAAGGGTTCCGAAGTCGGCGCATGTCCATGTTACGTTGAAGTTTTGCTAGTGACTTGTCGGCGCGTAGGGAGGAGAGTGGGAGCCCTGGAGCCGTCGGGGAGTTGGCGGGTCAGCGCACGCGCTTTGGCCAGAGGTCTGGGCGATGCAACCCGCGGGCATGCACGCGACATGCATCCAATTTACTGCGCAGCGGAGATGTTGCAACTTGGATATACTTTACGAATATCCCACCAAGTCCTGCAGTCAGCATTTTCAGCTTCTTCTACATACACGGCCTTGTCAATACTTTGCACTCGCCACGCGGTTGAGGATGCCTCTGCCACACACTGCGACAGCTTAGCGCGTAATTTCACCACATCAAATAGAAAGACAACAGATCAGATGTGAAGAGGTGAATTGTCTACAGAATTCCCATCAAAAAGATGCTGGACACGTGACAATTTCATTCTGGTCGCCTTGCTTGGACCATCCTTCAGCCTCCACGATTTGACCAAACCCCCAACCAAACCCCCACGCGTACGCATTTCCGCCTCCACACTCAATCGCAATCGGTAGGATCCCAATCTGGAGAAGAACACGGCTCGTTAGGACATGTAGTGGGGTGAAGGTATTTGTATCAGACATCGGAACTTACCAGTCACCAGATACTCATCCAATCCATCCATTGTCTCCATGTCGGCATCGTCGATTTCAAAGCCCCCAATCTGCGAGTTCTCAACAATTCGCTCCTTCTTCGTGCTTTTAGGTAGCGGCACATAGCCATGTTGCAGGCTCCAGCGGACCAGCAGCTGGGCTGGCGTGCATGAATACTTCTTGGACAGGGCCACAATCTTGGGGTGTTTCATTCGCAAGGCTCGGGCGAGCGGAGCGTATGCCTCGACCACAATATTGTGCTGCTGACAGAAGGACGTAATATCTTCGCGCGTATTGAATGGATGGACCTAAAGACGCGGAGGCTGTGTCAGGGGGTTTCCTATACGCACTCTGAACATGGATATCTTACCTCGATCTGATTGACTGCTGGAGGAATCCTAGGGCTAGAATCCAACAACTCCTGCAGCTATCACCATGTCAGTAACTGACCCAAAGCAGTCGCTTGCAGCCAACAACGTCAGCGTCGGCGTCGTCGGATGCCTTATGACGGGAGAGAGTCTGCTTCGAATCCAATAACAGAGAGGCGACGAGTTTCCTAACCTGGGTATATGTTCGCACTAGACATAGGATACGGGGCTACCCGAGACACGCAAGAAAAACCAAAGGAACAAGGGAGCCGGGGTGGACTAACATGCTTGACTCCATAATTAGAGACGCCTCCAGTCTTGACTTCGCCGTCGTTGATTGCGTCCTCGACGGCTCTCCAGCTGTCCAGACGCGCCTGTTTGCCACCGTACGGAGAATGGAGCAGAAACAGGTCAATGTAGCCAAGCCCGGCCTCCTTGACCGATCTACTGATGGCCTTGCGGGCCGTTTCGTATGCGGAGTTGGACGCTAGCTTGGAAGTGAAGTGCACATGTTCCCGCCTGAGGGAATCAGTATTAGCTTCACTCTGGAGAAAGTCGCTGATGGCTTTGCCCGACTCGCGCTCGTTATGGTACATCTGAGCTGAGTCGACCCTGGTGCACGCGTCATCCATTGAGTGTTCTACAAGGCTGGTGTATCGTGATACCTACGCTCGATATCCGGCCTGCCGTTGTAAGCATGATTGTTTTCTAATCAGCAGTAGCAGCAAAAACACACCTCGAGCGCCCATCGCACAGCCTGATACGTCTCCTTTCCGGACGTCAGATAGACGCCGAGATGAATGGTGGGCATGGATGAGCGATTGGGGAGCTGCAAGGGTGTCAGAGCTGGGCGCGATGTGTACGACGGTGAGGGCACCTTGGTCCGCGAGGCCAATGAGAAGGATGGAAAGGCCATGTCAAAGCTGGGCGCTATGTCGTGCATACGAATCTGTAGGGTACTATACAATCTGCGATGCTTCCAAAGAGCCGGTACGATAGTGGGCGTGAGATGAGACGAAGAGATGAAAAGACGATGATGATGGTGCATGATGAAATTCGTCGATTCGTTGTGGTTACATCATGGCCCGCTTCTGACCAGGGCATACATCTCACATGCCCCTCTCCCAATGGCCACAGTCGTGTAGCGTGCAATGGCAGCTAAGCTGGTGTACGGTAGAGGTGCGTTGCACGTGCAAAAGCAACCAAGGATATCTTGCAGAGCAACCTATAGTCTCCTCTACCACAACCTTCACCAATTGCTCTTCTCGGCGGTACCTGCTGCATCGGGGGAAGCCTCTCCCCACCTCAGGCTCCCAGTGACTACTTAGTTCTCGCCATGATGAAGCGGACAAATGCAGTGCCGTGTCGCACAGGGTCGCCAGTGGTCAACGTGTATTGTCTGGCAGCCTCACCGAGTGCGAGTGCGCGTGGCTTGGGGTGATCGGCGAGGAGCTGTTCTCCGACACGATGCGCTACCGTGGCCCTGGACAGGGAGCAATAGCACATTGGCGAACGCCCTCTATTGTGGCACTTTCGGGCACACGACTATCCGTTTCGCAAGCCCCAACCCATGTCTGTGGCCCCTCTGCCGCGATTGACGAGTCTCGCAGCCGGGGCGTTTGGTGGCGCCTGTCACGGCAGCCCGTCCCAGCTCATGATATGACAAAACCCAACTGACACTGACACTGACGGGCGCAGACATGTGGCCCCAGGAAACAGGAGAGGAGACAGGAGACGGGAGATGCAAGGCTCATGTCGCGTCAGTCGGCCCAATGCGTGTGCTTGTCGGCGCCGCCGGCCATGTTAAACTTCCTACATCATCTGCGCGAACCGAGGAAGGGCAGCCAACGGCAGTGCAGCGCAGCGCAGAGCATCGCGCCCGTCGACGACGCTTGGTTTACAGTGCTTTCGAATAGACCGATTTTGACGCCGCCAGCCAGGCGATATGCGACCACCCGCGAACCGCATAGCCACTATTTCGGGCTCCACCGACCATCAGGAGGGCGCCCAATTGGCCCGGGGCGCCGTCGACGCTGCCCCCAGAGGATCCATGAAGCCGAAGTGGCTCGAATGGATCATCGCCAGGATTGTGCCAAATTCACGGCCGTCGCTCTGAGACCTCAATTATCCCTCGCGGGGTTAGCAGGCGGCGTCGACCGAAAGCCACGCGTTATAAGCAAGTACTGCACCCTCATCTGAGCAAACCCCCATGTCGCGACTATAAAGCACCTTATAGCGCCCGCTGTAGCTCCTTCCACTTCCCCAGCTATCACACAGGCGGCACCGACCTATCCGCCCACTGGGTCATTTCGTCATTGATCCTCTTTCTCATCTCACCCAGATCTCATCTGGACTGGACCCTGACTCTCGGCCGCCTCCAACTCTCCAACATTAGTCCAGAAAAGCCGACGCTCTGCACCGGAACTTTGATTCACGACTGTTGCCTGTTGCACCCAGCTCGCCCGACTCGTGTCCATCCATTCATACCATTCACACGCCTTTCCGACCAACCGGCCCTGCTGACGTCCGCTGTTCCTGCAGTAGCCTTGCCGTCACACTATGGCGAGCTTACCCGGATTCACCTCAAACTTCCCTGCGGGATACCCAACCTTCCAGACTCGCGGGAACACTTTCGCACGCGGTAGCACATCGTCGGGAGAATCACCCTCTGCTCCGAACACTGCATCTGAACCCCACTTTGATATTTTCGACTGGCACCCCGCCTATCAAAGCTGCCAGCGTTATTTCCTCGACCATGCTCAGCACGAACACGGTGTACAGGCCGTCTGCGCTCTCATCAACATCTGCCTGCCGTTTCAATGGACGCAACATCCCCTCATGAACGCCTCGGGACCGCTACCTCACTCATCTGGGCCGGCCGCGTATAATATGCCATGGCCGCGCCAAGGTCCCGTCACCAATTCCAGAGGTCAACCAGCTCCCGCCTGGGTGTCTCTTGTACCATTCATCCGCCGACTTGTCATCACGGGAATGGACAGTTCAGGTATCATGCATGGTTTCTTTGGTGAAGACTGGAGAAAAGGCGTTGGTCCAATGCACGAGTGTGAGCGGCGCAACTATCTGTTTGCCGCCAAGAGCGTAGGATGGGCCAAGGTCAAATGCCAGTACGACATGTCACCACACGAAACAGTCCCCTACTTGAAGCCATTACAGGAGGTACAGCTGGCCGAAATTGAGGGCGCTGAGAAAACCTGGAGTCAATGGCTAGCCATGGAGGACTGGATGGTGGGCCCGAGGGCACCGGATGCAGACGAAGATGCGCACCGCCGTGCATCGTGAGAACTGACTCGGAGTATGGCGTTTTCAGCTGCATCATGATAGTTAGCTATGCAAGCTGGTTTTAGGCACAAGAATAGTGCGCGTGCGGCTTCTTGGGATTTTCATGGGCTGGGCTCCACGGTCGGCATCGTCCGGCGTCGGGTTGCACATTCAAGTACCACGACATGAGCGGAACGCTCATTGGAATATCTAGTTATAATCCAAACTGTCTTTTCCAGGCGCCTACTGTGCCCAGTAATTTCAAATCGATGCAAATAGGACATGTTTACAATTAGCTCCTTGTCGCTTCTACTAAAATGCGGTTTCGAATTCTGAATCACGTGCCAACAGGCCTACGGGGATACGAAGCTTCTTGCCCTCATGAACAGTCCCCAAAGAAAGCACCACCTCATCATGTGCGACCGCCAAACTATTTTACTGATTCCTGGTCAGGTAAGAGAGGCGCGCTATTGTCGTTTATGAGAATTTAGCATCGGTACCCCTGTGTGTACCTTGTGGATAAAAACAATTCCCTTGGCGTACATGTGCAATGTACTTCTACTATAAGTTTCCAGAATAATAGCATTTCTTTTAATCCAGGGATGGACGTGGCCTGCCTTCCACGGTTGACATGAGGGGTGAGGCCTCTTACATGCCAAGAAACTTCGGCAAGCCATCAGCCTCGACCACGGCCATCTTTGTTCTTCACGCGTCACGCTTCGTGTTCCTTTTTTGTCGCCAACTACCCGCAGTATTTTCCGGGCCGTCTCTATCTACACATGAGCCATGGAGTCCGTGGTCGATGAATGGAAAGCGTTTTTGTCTCGCTGTATTGCGAGCCGGATTCCACCAGACGTCTTCGCGGCCGCAGTCGCGCAGCTCCACGCGAAGTCTCCCCTGCCAGGTCGAAAGCTTGCTGCCCTGGTGCTTCTCCCACGCGCTGCAGGCATCGACCCGCGTTCCATTGCGATTCTCGAACAATTACTAGCCTTGAAAAAGGTCGACGCATCTGATGTCTTAACGGTGACCTTTTTGCACTCCAAGGATCGGCGTCCGATTAACACAGGGGACGAAAAGGCACCTAAAGATGCACAATGGAGCAACCCCCCAGAACTAGAGGAGATTATTTTTCATCGACTGCACAAGGCCTTTGCCTCGGAGGAGCGTCCTGTCAATAATACTGAAGGGCTGCGCACGCTTATTGTCGTTACAAGATGGATGCAGGTAATGGTGACATCGCATACCAGCGATACCATGATCCAGGCCATGGCTGGCATACAACAGCCACATCAGCAGTCCATCAACGCCAGAGAAGGCCTTGCCATGCTTGTAATCGGTGTTATAGAAAACCCAAGAATATTGGCTATCTTGAGCAATCCCAAAGGCAAAGGTAAGCTGTCCCAATCTGATATCCACCCAATTGTTGTTTGCGCATACACATCGCGATACATCAGCATGTCAATCGCTCATAAATACTTAGATGTTCGAAAGAATTTCGTTCAGTCGCTGTCCTCGTTCATTCCTTTCCTCCACAACAACTCCGCCGGATCACAAACATCCTTGTCATTAGCAAATAGACTAGAAATGTCACAAAAGCAACACGACTTCTTCGAGAAGCTTCCGAATGTTAACGGTGAGCGGAACGAGAGTACCGGTCTGGAAGTTGCTGCATTGCAACTTGACGCGGTGATGGAGCTTCCCCAGGTCAACACGCGGCCTGGTCTTTATGTGTTTCTGAACGCCTTGGTATGTAGTCAAGCTCATGGATAGGTTTGCCGCTAACAGGAATAAGCTTGTCGCGCGGCCTCTGACTGACGACTTCACGATCATTAGTCACCTGCATTCACGATATAAGGTAGGCTACCCATTGGGTATTCCACAGGGTTCTGACTTGCAGCAGTTGGAGCCTCAGAATATGGCAACTGATTTGATCACTGCTGCGTTCGATATCCTCGCAAACGCCATGTACCGCAACGAACAATCAGAAACGCTGTTCTACTTGAAGTCTTTCCTTATCAACAAGGTGCCCATACTTCTCACGCAATTGTCCGGGTCAATATTCCCAATGACAGTTGAGATGTGTATCACCCAGGCACTCAGTCATGTCGATCCCCATGCTTTTCCGTCATTCTCGCAAGGTTTCGACGACATCATGGGGAGTAACAACTCCCTTTCTGACGTTCGACAAGATTTCCTCAATGCCTGTGCACTCCATGGCCTCATTGCAGCGGGTACCGTGGAGCGGTTGCTGGGCGAAGCCCCCATGCAAGGACCGCCAGCGAAGAGATACGAGAGGAAAGAACTGCTGAATCAGTGCAAAACAAACTTTGATAAGATCAGCTTATATATTGACGAACTTGAGAATGTAGATGGTAATGCCGGCGCCATCGTCGCCGCAGTCACAGATGTATGACATGTTTGTATCGTCCGTGGAAGCAGGCTTACTGACGCAATATAGTTTATAGCACACCTCTGCGAGACTCAGACGACTATGTATCTGAAGCAGTTGTCCTGCTTGATCTTCAGGAAGCCTCAGGCAATGGACGTGATGCTTCAATTCACCTCCCCACCCAGCATTTTGCGGCCACTATGCCAGTTCCTCGACGACTGGCACTATGATAGCGACCAAGGTAGGAGATCTAACCAAAACCAATGCGACTACTTGCTGATTGTCATAGGTGAGCATCAACCAGTCTACGATGAATTTGGTGCGATACTCGTTTGTATAATGACGTTCATGTACCGTTACGATCTGACGTACCACGACATCGGTATTGGACATGACTCTTTCGTCGCTAAACTCATGCAGCGCGGGCACCATGGTATGCTGCCAGATGAGTTGACTGAAGAGCAGGGAAAGCACCTTGGTAATTGGCTAAAGGGGCTCTACGACTCTGACAAGGAAGGACTTAGCAATGAGGTGTTTGCTTCTTGTCGCCCACAGGAGTTCTATCTGACAGTTCCAACATTATTCAGACAGACAGTCGTGGCTTGTTCTACAGGCGTGTTATCTTTCGAGACCGTCAAGGGTGGCTTGGAGTGTAAGCACGCTGATGTTGACGTCTTGGAATGCGAGGGACTGACTGAATATAGATCTCGGAGAAACATTCCTTTTGCCGTCTCTAATCGGGGGTCTCACCTGGATGGCTTCCTATGCGCTCTTACAGACCCATAACGACCTTGATGCGATGATACGCATTTTCAACGAGGTTATACTCTCAAGTCCAACATCCGGTGATGCACAGGCTATGCACTCGACAATTATAGCGATAGTATCCAGCCGCCTCGAGAAATGCTTCCGCACACTGCAGCGCCGCGAGCCGAATCGCACTACTCTGGAGCCATTTATTCAAGCGATCAAGGCACACTCTCATTACGAACGTACCGCATATGCCACCTTGAAGGAACTTGATCAATGGACGAACGTGCCCCATAGTACACTGAATACATCTCTTCGACATACTGTACAGCAGCTGTCGCAGTGGGCTTCCACTGCATCATTACAGCCGAATCCGCCCAGCTATACCCATCGTCAGATCTACGCTTCGCTGAAAATGCTAGGCGCAACTAGGACGTTGCGGGCCATCGTAGAAGAGGTAAAAAACCAAACAGATGCTGGCAACGGTGCAGCTGCACTTGACATTGGTATCTCCATAATTTGTGCGCCTATGGTAGAAGATAGCCCAGTATCAGTAGACTGGGTGGCCAGCCAGATAGTGGCACCAGCGCCACAGCGAACTCGCATGAATCTGAGGGAGATTCTCAAACAAGAGTTCGACTGTGCGGCAAACCTCGTTGCAACAGACCCGCTAACAGCAGAAACAATTGTACGCCTACATCGTCGTGTGGAAGCACACTTTGCCTCACTCAGCGAGACCGGACTTCAGGCACCACCAATTAACATCCCTAGTGTACACATTGGAGATATGCAGTCGCAAACGATCTCAGACGACTTGAATCGAGCCATTGACGATGCGGCAGCGGCAAGTATCGTTGAAGACATTTCCAACATGGACAACAAAGCGCTTCAAAGAAGTATGGATGAGCTTACCGCATCCGAAGGTCTGGATTTGTCGAGCATCGGGATGGGCAATGGCGATTCAGGGACGGGCGATATGGGTACGGATCTGGGCAACCTACCTGACTTGGACCTGGGTGATATGGGAAGTATGGGAATGGACATGGACATGGATATGGGTATGGGAGGTGGCGGAGGTGATGATGACTGGGGATTGGACTTTGATAACATGTAGGAGAGGCTTCTTCTACAAAGGATTGGGTAAGAGGGGTTGGATACAGAAAACATTGTTATCTTATTAATTCACTATTATCTAGCTTAACATGCGAGAAGCAGCGAGAGAAATGAAATAGAATATTTATTTTCGTGGTAGCCGTGTATACGTGCCGTGAGTACGTACCGAGGCAACTGTACTACAAGTAGGGCGGGGTGAGCGGTGTAGGCGCATAGCTCCGAAAGCTCCTGCCCCACATTCACATACCGCGTAGACATCATCGCAAAGCCGTCCAATTTTGGGCACCGCGTCAATCCCAGTAATCGGCGTACAGAAACAAGGTGCAAGGGAGCACATTGATTTGATACCTTATCATAGCCTAAACACCAAGATGCCATACGAACTCAAGGGCAGAAATGTTCTCATCACCGGAGGATCAGCGTGAGTTGCTTATGTTGCATAGCTTGCATGCTTTGGGAATGCTTGCCAGAGAGTCATAAAGTCAGATGCTAACAGTCCTTCAGGGGCCTCGGTGAATTGCTCAGCATAACATTTGCAAAAGAAGGTGCCAATGTAGCCATCAACTACTTTAACCGCATTGAGCCTGCACAGAAAGTACAGAAGCAATGTCAAGAGCTAGGTGTCAAGGCTGTGCTCATCAGGGCGGTATGTTTTACGCACAGATTCAGGATGATGGAGCAGGACTGAGAGTGATAGGACATAACATCGACGTCAGAAGCGAAACGGGTTGTCAAAGAGACGATTGAGCAGCTAGGCGGACTAGACATTATTCTTGCCAATGCAGTATGTATGCCCGACTATTAATGCTACCACATATCTCTCGTCATGATAAGATGCAGGTTGCTGACACGAAAATAGGGCTGGACGCGTTTCTCTGAGTGGGCAGATCTAGACTCGATGTCTGAAGAAGATTGGGACAAGTGCTGGAGCGCCAATGTCAAAGTACCCAAGACACTGCTTTCAGAAGCCAGAGCTAAATTCGACGCCAATCCCGATGGTGGTCTCATGATCACCACGGGAAGTATCGCTGTACGTCAGCCTGCTTAGCGTTGAAGACGTTTCTGCACAAGATTGACAAGAATTTACTAACGGAGTAATTAGGCTATCGGACAAGGAGGAAGCAGTATGCCCTACGCCGTCACCAAAGCAGCACAGTTCCAGCTCGTCAAGTGCCTGGCCGTCACGGTTGGCCCCAAGATACGCGTCAACACCGTCCTACCCGGTTTATTGTTGACCGAGTGGGTATGTAACAGAGAGAAACTCGAGTGAATGTCGTATACAGCTCCTAACAATGATGCAGGGACGGAATTATTCGCCGGAGCAGATTAAAGGGCTCAAGGATCGTGCGCCACTCAAGCAAGAGACGTTTTTGGACGATTGCGTGGCTGCTTTTGTGATGCTGGCCAAGAATACCAGTATGACGGGTATGCGTGTTCAGGTGGATGCAGGGCTTAATGTTCAGGGTGCTTGATGGGTGGATGCAGGGTGGTCTACTTGTCATTGTATAAATAGAGTCACTTGCTGAGTCAAAACGACTGTGGTACCCATATAGATTTGAACCGTAGGATCAAACATCAGCTGAATGCCGTTTGTAGTGATCAAACGCGTAGGTTAACCAGATTCATAATGCCTGGCATGAGTAGCGCCGTAACCTCGGCCGTGGGTTGCCTTTGCACCCCACGACGCTAGTTAATTGAAGCTGCAGGACCCAGTTCCCCGCGTCTCCAACTTCCGCATCTCCGCAAATGTCATGACTCTCAAACAATTATAGCATTCCCCCATCATGTCTAGCTTCGCCATGCCTGTCTGTAGAGCGCGTTTGCTGCGGAGGTGCATGCGATGCGGCGAGCGGAGGGAGAGCTGTCAGCCTTCACGTCGGCGATGGATGAGCAGCGTGCGGGAATCCCCAACCAAGAGGCCGAAGACAGCTATTTTCTTCCCTGGTGCGTTCTTGAAGCATTTGTACATATGGTCAACCCATGCTCCAGAATACTGACAGTCAATAGGCCAGGGCGTCCAACGCGTAGGAATGACCACACCATGGTTAGAAGCCTTCCCCAACACAGCCAAACCTATCCTCGAAGAAATCGACGACACGCTCAAACTTCCTCTCACCAAGACGATAGAATCCGGTACCAATGCCGAGCTCACCAAAACCGAGAACGCGCAACCAGCCATCATGGCGACTTCAATCCTCATACTACGGATATTGGAGAATGATTTCGGCTTCAAGACAGACGCGCGCGTCGATATCACCCTCGGGCATTCTCTGGGCGAATTTGCAGCTCTAGTAGCTGGCGGCTATCTCACCTTCCGCGACGCGCTGCAAATGGTGCGCAAACGAGCTGAGGTCATGAGCAAATGCAGCCAAGAAGCCGTAGAAAGAGACGGAGGCGAGTTCGGCATGGTAGCACTGGTGTGTGAATCCGAGGAGCGCATGCAGGCGCTCATCAACGGCATCCACGAGTTCCTCGCGCACGGCTCCAAGGCTGACTCTCACGACCACCTCCCCGCCGTCCAACAAGTCACCATTGCCAACCTCAACTCGAAGAACCAGATCGTTCTAAGCGGGAAGATTACGAGGATAAACACGCTGCTTACCAACTTGCGCCAGTTCGGAGGCCACGATCCCCGACACGTCCGCTTGAAGTCCGACGCGCCCTTCCATAGCTTGCTTATGAAACCCGCCCAGGAAACGATGAAGCGCATACTCTACAAGCAGACGGAAGACGGTCGCGATATCGTAACTTGGCCGGGCATCATGCCGTGCATATCGAATGTGTCGGGCAAGCCATTCCAAGATAAAGAGCAGCTGAAAGACTTGCTTGCGAGAAGTTGCGCTGAAACGGTGCAGTGGTGGAAGAGCATTAAGTATCTCCATGAGGAAGAGAAGATCATGCGATACGTAGGCATCGGGCCGGGGAAAGTAGGCAGGAATCTTGTCGGCAAAGAAGTGGGCATGAAGGGCGCGGTTAAAGGTGGTGGAGTTTGGGGCATTACGAGCCCCAAGGAAATGGAAGAGGTTGTTAGGGCGTTGGATGATACTGAGAATATTGACCTGGAATGATGGATGGATGCTAATAAACGGAATGTGGAATCTGTCTAGGAGGTTTGATTTCATCGATACCCCTCTGCGACTTTGCCTTGTAAGATCTGCTGCTAAGCATCGATATCACTTCTATATGCCTTCCTACCTCTGCGTGATGGATTAAGACATATTCTAATAAGGAGTCAATCTACTGGCTGAATATACAATCGTGTGGCTCGGGGACATTGTAATTGACGACCCTCGACACCCGTCCAGGGTCCCCTCAGAAACAGCGAAGCCCAAGCCTGATAAGCACATAACGCAGAAATCCATCGACGACTTGACTTCGCGGTTTAGTGTGCTTGAGATTGAAGAACTCGCAGTCGAAGGACCGGACAGCATTGAGCAAACGAAGCCTGCTGCCACGCCAGCACCTCCCCCCAAGGTTGTGTATACCCTGGAGACTATTGACGAAGGTCGATGGTTTGCTATGTACTGTTTGTTACGCGATTATAACAGTATAAAGGCTGTTAACATAATGGTTTGGGAAAGTTTCTGCAGAGATCATGCCAATAAGAGTCAGAAAGCTGACTTTATGTCTGCTGCAGCAACCAGCCAGGCCGCTATGCAAATGATTAAGAGTCTTGTCCACAAATTCTCCAGTTTCTTTCCCGAGATAAAAGACTCAAAAAGCTTCTACATCGAGCTTCTGCGTCAACCTGCTTTCAAAGAAGCGATGCGGAACGTCAAGTACGATGACCATGGGCCCCCTTTGGTTATGGCACGAGTCGGCTTGTTCAAACACAGTGGTCTGGCGACTTTTTTTGAGACTTCGAATATGCTTGAGAGGTATCACCATCAAGCCGTGTTCTCATTGCGTCCCACGACGATTCAACCCCTGATTGAGTCTGAGCATATACCGAATGATCTTCCTTCCTTCCATGCTCTCATCAACGCGCTCGAAGATATTGCAATTTTGATAGATCTCGGCATAGAACTGCCTGCCATGGATAACTTTACGCAAACTTGGTACACATATCTCAAGCAACAGCGAGACGATAGGGCTAAGGAACAAAAGAAACAAAAACCTGCCAACCTGTCCATTGAGATGTTACTCTACACCGATCTCTATATCCAAACGCAAATGGTCTTCAACGACAAAATATCGGAGAAGCTTCAAGATCATTACTTTGCTCTACATGAATATTTGATTGACACCGGCGATCATCTCGAAATACCCCGCATTTTAAGGCAAACATCCGATGCGAAGCGTAAACCCAACTTGAAGTCCTATCTCAAGGATGAACAAAAGACGACTCAGATCGCAAGGTTCATTATGGAGGACATCTTTTGTTCGGAGAGAGAGGCGCGAGCAAATGCCAAAGATCCCACAGATACCCATCCAGATACTAGCCTTAATCGGAAGGTGGGCGATTGAATATCAGCTAATCCATTCTTTGCTGGGCTATTATCATTTGTGGTTGCACATGCTGCGAGTGATATTTGGATTGTTGGTCAAAATAACAATGGGCAGACACTGGCTTTCGCACACCTGTACAACTTCTTCCGTCAATATCATAGTTCTAGCACCACAGACACATCTGACAAGATACTGTACAGGAAGTGGGCGGATTTGGAGAATACGATCAAAATCGTCGGCGAGTCTGGTCTATTCGTAGGCGACAGGCCAAAATCAGTCCTTGCATGCGTCAGGCGTTTATTGATCACACATGGTGTGACGCCTAGTACAAGCATAGCAGCAGAAGAGAAACGTAGTGGGGGACCTATGAAAATGGCTTTAACAGGCGAATTAAAGCTCACCACCACTCCACTCATCAACCTTCTTTTCGCCACAGGTGGGCCAGAAAACCCAGCCTTTCTCAACATCACCAATAAGGAAATCTCTGATCTCGTCTTGAAGCAGAGTCGCAGTTACCAAGCTCGGGTCCCCGGCTATCAAGTTGACCAAAGGCCTGCAACATCAGACATTCTTATCATGTTCCGCTTGGTCTTTCAGCAAGAACTCTCGAGGATTCTTTTCCCTCACTTCAGCATTACGCCCACTATCATGGACCTGAATACACAATTATACAAAGACTTATGGCACAGGATGAGCTCTGAGCTGACGATCGTTTCATGGGATGCAAAAGCCACTGTAGCCATAAACATCGTGAACGAGGAGTGGAAGGTTCGCGACGGTCGTGATGAGATTGACATCAAAAATCAGGATGTCCTGAAAGCAGGGTGTATCATAAGGAAGTACATAAAGAACCTGCAAACCAGGGATGATCAAGATATGACTTCTGGCTGGACAAACTTTTATAACAAATACATGAAGCAAGTACAAACTCTTAAAACCTATACTGGTCGATCACAGCTCACTCCTCTTCTTAGAAGCCTCTGCATACCAAATCCATTGCTCCTGAGTGAGAATGTGATTGCCATAATTCTTGACCGTAGCTATAAGGCGAATAGCAGAATGAGTGCAACAATTCCCGAAAATTGGAATCAAATTCAACTGCAATTTCTACCCGATTCATTCCATGAAATTACCTCGGAACTGGAAACTGCTATAGAACTAGTTGATGGTGAGTTGCGTTGGGCTTCTGGACTGCTTAGCTTACCCGAACTGAACCTGCAAGGCGAGATGTGGGCAATGAGCAAGAGGGTGGAGGAGCAGCCAGTGAAAGAGCAACCAGTGGAGGAGCAGTTAATGAAAGAGACAATTGAAGACGCCTCGGGGAAGCAGAAGGAGAAGGTGCTACGTGGTTGAAACTGTTGCTACCCTGAATGAGTGTTGCAATAGTCTATCTATGGTTATTTCTCTCCTTTTATTATTGGATATTCAAATTGTAGGATGTAATCTAGAGAGTCGATATTGAAATTTTGGTTGTTGAAATCGTGTAATGTTTATATCATGACAGCCTAAATCTATGACGATACCCTAAACTCTTGAAGACCCCCACGTCTACACATCCATTGTTACAATCTGACCGGAAGACCTAATCAATGAAACTATGGAGCTTCCATCTTTTCCATCGGGTGTTCTAGGATGAAATTCCACATGACCTCCGCCGCCGTCTTCGCACCGTCCATGGAGTTCAATTTCTCCGCCAGCATCCTCGCCTTTGCAGCATACGATGGCTCGTTTAGTACTGTTAATATGTTGTTGCGAATGTTTCTGGCTTTCCAGAATTGCTTCTGCACACGGATACCCGCCCCGGAATTCATGGTGTTGTCGAGGTTTGTTTGCTGTTCGACTTGTAGTGCAACGCCGACAAGGGGTTTCCCTGCGGCTAGCGCGCATTGTACGGTTCCTTGGCCTCCGTGTGTGACACTAGAACAGATTTGTGGTTAGTCATAATTTTGTTCAGGTACTCAGTGGAGGCACTTACATCAAGTCCGCGAGTGCGTTTGCAGCGGACGCAGGGATAAATCGATCGGTTACAAGGAGACGTGAATCTCCGCCCGCGACCTCGTTAGCCTTGTTGATATCGCAGATGGACTTTGAAGCGAGGACGACGGCATTCCAGTCGTCTTCCGGGTTCATTGTGAGAGCTTTGATTGCCTCGAACAGGAATTCTTCTGTGCCAGAACTACCCATGGTGACCAAGATTGACGGACCAGGCCCCTTTGTCAAATGTTTTGCGATATCATCGTCTAGTTCGGCGTCGCTCCGTGCGTATAATGGACCTGTGAGAACTATGTTCTTAGGGAGGCGGTGTAGGTATTCTTGATGGAAGACAGGATGATCGTTAACCAAGTTCAGATCTGCCATATTCATGTCGAAGAGGGAGATTGGCCCTGAAATCGGCCAGCCGCAAGCCGCTGCTGCCGCACCTAGGCGCTTCTGGTGGAAAATGGGAGCCTTGATCATCAAGCCGCTGGCCCACCATGCGATCCGCTGTCGGATCGGCCGAGGAAGGCGTGTGAACAGCGGAATAAGATCAGGCAGATCGCGAACAAGGCCATGGGCAAAGGCTCCATGGTGTAGCGGGACCGGCAGGAAGTTGATGGTTCGAATTCCCAGTAACCGTGCAGCGATGGAAGCCGGAGCCCACATACCATGGAACACGATGTCTGGCTTCAGCTCCTTAAACGCGGCGAGCTGGCCATCAATGAACGACTTTGCAATCTCCTCCGAACCAAAGAACTCAGGCCAGTCCCATCCTAGATCATGTGCCACAGAGATGCCTTTCACACGTGGTTGAGCTGGAACAATGTTGAATCCCGCATCCGTGATCTGGTATTCAAAGCGTGCGCCACAGGACAAGAAGTCAATCTTCAGTTCAACGTCAGGCGGGCACATATCCCGCAAAGCAACGGCCATTGCGATTGCACGTGTGGTATCACCGGCATCTTGCCAAGCGACGCTTAGCACTATGTGGATGGAACGCGCCGCCATAGCAGTGAGATGGTTTATAAAAAGGACAAGAGGATGAAAACAACGGACAAGATGTCGTTTTAGGATGACGCAGACTCAGTGTTATACTAATATACAAGCGCTGATACAATACCAATCGAAGAAGCCACAATGCCAAAACTCGGCTTTCCAAAAACGTGGTGAACAGTAACCGTATCTCCTCTATCATCTCCGACAAGACTGCATTCGGATTGGGCTATGTTGCACAGCTGAAGCTCACATTCACATCGTTGGTGCTCGCCAGCTCCGGTCAGGCTCGCCAGTCATCCCCGAGCTCCGACTGTCAGCCAATAGCTTAGTTATCGTTAAAGACGCCTTTGCTTTGGACAGCACTAAAACATCGATATGGAACAGCTGCGGGGAACCGTATCAGGCCCATCACATTGACTTGGACTATATTTGGTTTTTTGCTGGAAAATGCCGCTCGTATGGTTGCAACTGACATGAGCAGATAGTGGGTCCGGTGCGAGCTGAAGCTTGTGGCGCTTCCAAAGCATGTGTAGAGATAGTGAGCTGCCTATAGTATCTTCAAAGTCGGTGTGCGTCGTAAGAGGAGTGGAGACGATGATGACCCATCCAGGCGTTAGCCTCGCCGTGGACCAATGGGATGTGTTCCATCTCGGAAGCTGACCAGGATGCCGGGTACATACCACTATGCTCGTGTCAGCCACGGAAGCCCCATGATGGTGTGCGGTGACGAGTAACATACGGCGCTTTGGAGCACCGACTTCGACATGCCGATCTGTCAGATTGTAGATACTATATTCTGATTGCGGTCAAAATACGTGAACTTGGCCAATCACGTAGGTCTACGTTCATTCATTAAGGTTGGCTAAGAACTCAGCCCTATTTGCTTGGTGATCCTGCGCTGACGTGGGATGCATTAGCTGCATACATGTTGCTTTCCTATGCCTCAGTCGACTGCGAGATCGGATGAAATTCCGGTGATGGCTGGATGGAGCAGTAGGAGGATAACGCCGTGATTCCGATGGCTTGTGCAAGGCCCTTGATGTTACATCGAATGGGGTCGTCCCGGGCGCACGACAGCGGTAGCTGTTATCAGGGATACCTGTAGGTCCTAGTGAAAACACCACATCACATTGTCAACTGTGAGTAATGATTTTATCATACGGGCCGGAAGCCGCCACGGAACAATGAAAGTTGTTTGAAATTTTCGTATTCGAATTTGTGACATTACATTAAATTAGATAACTACACTTGAAGTTACCTAGGCCCAGTCATCATCAATGAATCACGGAGATCCGGATTGATCTTCGCCGTGAGATAGGACGAGAAATTTCCACTAGACCGATAGGTCTTCTTCAATATCGGTGGTGGCGTGGGGATCTTGGTCAAACTTTGTCGACTCGGGCTGATGTTTGGTGCTTTTAGTATACCGCGCGGGACTGTCTGATTCCGACTGGGCCCTTGCTTTTCCTCGTCTCGTGTCGGGCGCTTGACTTTCACGCTCCGCCACTCCATTCCTATCGCAGCTGGTACCGCCAGGCAAGCGACGATGAGCGCGGCAAAGAATGTGCCTTGGGTCAATGAGCTGTTGTAGGCTGCCAGAATCATATGTTTCACCGCCGGGGGTTGTCCGCTCGTCAAGTCTGTAGCTCCTCCGTTCAGTATGTGATGAGGATTGAGACCACCGATATGTTTCAGGCCGGCAGTAAATTTGCTGATATACAGGTTCTGCCCGACAGCCGCAAAAACTGCCCCACCCAGCGTCTGGCAGAGCGAAAGCACTGCTGTACCGATCGGCACATCGGGCTTTGGCAATACCGTCTGCACTGCAATATTCGGGTGCTGCATAGTGCATCCAACCCCGAAGCCGACGATGATTTGATATCCGATCCACAAGCCGGTACTGGTGTTCATGTCCCACGTAGTTAGCAAGCCAGTACCAACCGCCATCATACCAGATCCGATGATCATGAACGGAGTGTAGTAGCCCATACGTTGCACGAGAGCTCCGGACATGATGGAGCCGAGGACAACCGAGAGTACGAGCGGGATCGTGTTTATGCCGGACTGCATCGCTGAGACACCTTTGATGGCCTGGAACCAAAGAGGGATGTATATTGACACCGTGAGCATGGTTGCGCCAACGCAAAATTGAGATGCGCCGCCAAAGAACACGCTTCGTTGGGTTATGATGCGTGCAGGAACTGTTGCAGTAGTGTTGCGAGTGAAGTACTGCCATAGTATGAAAAGTATGAGCAGCAGCGCGAAGACGGTGAGAAGGGCGATAATTCTTGGAGAAGACCACGGATAGTCGGCCGCACCCCATTCTAGTGCCAGAAGCAGACATGTGATGGAGGGGAGGAAGAGCGCAGTGCCGAGCGGGTCCAGGTTTTTTATTGTTTCTCCCCAGGTTTTCAATTTTGGCTTCTGCTCCTCCAACTTGAGCATGAAGCACACCACTAAGATTGTCAGGCCACCCAGTGGCAGGTTGATCCAAAAGCACCATCTCCATGTGGCCTTGCTTCCTGTAAAGGCACCGCCGAGTAGTGGACCTGCTACACTTGCGACGCCGAAGCATGCGCCGAAGAGAGCTTGCAATATGGGGCGTTTTTCGAGCGGAACAGTGTTCAGCATGATCAGAATCGCACCGGTAAAAATGCCGCTGCTACCGAGACCTGCGATCGCGCGCCCGATGATGAGCATCATGCTGTTCTGCGCCGCGCCGCATATCAGGCTTCCAAGCTCAAACAGGAATATGCCGGATAGAAAGACGGGTTTTGTCTGGAAGAAAGTGTATATGCGTCCATATAGCAAAATGAAACCAGCTGCTGTGAGCATGTAGGCGCTGCCGTACCATCCAATGTCGCTTAGACTATCAAACTCGTTGGTAATAGCGGGAATCGCAGGGCCCATGATCGTTCTGTCAAGAGCGACTAGGAAGATGGAGATATATAAAGAGACCATGATGATTGCCGTCTTCGCTGGTGATGGATAGGTACCCGCTGGTAGCATCGGTTGTCGTCCGATATCCGCTCCGGGCGCTGTATCATCGGGGTCGTTGTCCGCTAATTGTGATTCTCGAAGCTGACTCCTTCTGTTGTTCTTTCGCGTACTTTTGGGCTTTTGTGGTAGGCTATAGCTTGAGCCATTTAGGTCATCCTGAAATTTGACGCTGATCGGGCTGGAGAAACTTGAGCGTTTCGACGACTGGTATGAGTCCCTCATGTCTGGCATTTCGGGCATTTCTGGAACCTCCGGCATATAGTTGAATCGTGTAAGTTCTGCTGTTCTTGGCCGTAGATCTCTAGGTCCCATAATATCCAATGCTAATATGCCTTCCAAAGCCAGTATTGTGCTTTCGCGGAGGTATGGCCGGATTTCCTGTAAGTCCTCTCGCAGGTTCCGAGCTGTGTACGAGGAAGCAACTTCTCGTCTAGGCGGGATATTTCTCAGTCCTGCAAGATCGTCTTGGCTGAAATTATAAGATGAGTATGAGAAAGTGCCGCCTCCTGGGGTATATGAGCGAGAAAAGGCAGTCTCGCAGTTTGCAGATAAGTCTGCTATGAGGTCGGCAATCAAGTTGCGTTCATCGTATGAGATAAGCGACCCCGTCCCTCCCTGTGTGGATCCACGGTCGCTAAAGGTTCGGCCAGAGATTGCTGCCGATATGGCTGATACTACCGACTCTGGCCTTTCATCCGCGCGGACCAATCGTATCGTCGGGGGTATCGCCATGTTTGTGTATTCGATACTTGGCCGAAGTTATCGATTCGGTAGCCTGGTGGTGGCGTCGAGGTCCGTATATTGACTGCAGTAGGCCGTGCGTGAATACTTGAGTGGTCAACTTTATACGGAGGGAATGTATATGGACTACAGGAGAAAAGGTGGGAAATGTTCAGATCTTTGCAATTGCATTCAGATTGCAGGATTTGGGCAAGAAGCAACTGTTACATCGATTTCATCTGCAACAAGAGGCCTTGCGCAAGAGCACCTTGCGCAGCATCCGCAGTCCCCCAAGTCCAAGGCGAGGTCGTAAGACGGCAGCGATAACCACCCGCTCCTCTGACACACCACTACAAAGTCTCCAAAAAGCATCGGCATGTCAGTCGCCCAAACCACCGACGTTCCACGACCGCAGTCTACACCACGGAGTAGCCTCTCCCATCCCGACTGCCTACACGTCGGTTCCTAATAATATCTCATTTGATGGACCCTGAGCTATCACAGGTGGGTTGCCATTTGCCCTGCATGCTTCCATGACAGCGGAAGTTCTCGCTGTGATGCGGAGATGCATAGTCAGCGTTCGGGTATTACCCTGGGGAGCCGGGTGGCGCTCGACGATCGCCGTGGGTTTGCCGAGACATTAGGGCGATGATGTGAGGAGCTGAGTGAGACTTTTTCGATGGTACGGGAGTAGGAAGGCAGTGCATGAAGATGACCGAGGGGAGGATGAAAGAGAAGTGGAAACGTGCATCGGCGGTTTGAGAAGCCGATTTGTTTTGCAGAAAAAGCGATTCAAGACACGTGGGCGGGAAGATGACGGTTGCTTAGCGTGAGGAGGATTGCGTCAGGCAGGATGGAAGACACGCACACCATCGAATTGCATGGCTACGCGGGCTGTTCAAGTGTCTCATGGGGACATCGAGACATCAAAGTACAAGAGTACTGACCCCATCTAAAGTCATTTAGATAGCAATAGCCTGGTAGTAGTATCAAAGCGGATGCGTCCAAGGGTACGTCTTGTTGCCGCGCAAGCGCCTCGTCGCGGCCTCCCCCGTAACTTCGGAAAACTCTTCTCACAAGCCTGCAGAAGTACCAAGTTCCGACTGGGGATATAGACAACAAATATTTGATTTCAGATCGAAACAATACCAAATGCGGAGAGTAAATCCGCGGTCGAGATCGGCCTAGGGATCAGAGCAAGCTCTATCTGGGACGGGCGCTTTCAAGGTGCGAGTACCCTATGAGAGTACGTGGAATCATGACGATGGTTCAGGGTCAACCCGTAATAACCAGGGACCTTGCGTAGGAGCAGCGTGTCCCCTGGGTACCGTAGGTTGCGCTTAAAAGAAAGTAGAAAACCGAGCCCCTGGGAAAAGGAAGGGGAGGTGATGGTCAACGCAAAATAAAAAGACGTAAATCTGCTATACACCGTTCGTTCGTGCGTACCATTACAGGAATCTGAAGCAGAACAACGCGTTTGGGATATGTTTGTGATTGGAGATTCTCGGTAGCTCAAAGATGGGGTCTCCGTATCGGGATGAACAAATGCTACCGCTGGACTAAGAAACAATCAGCAACAAAGGGCAGAACAGCCGACATACAGCCGACATGCATCCAAGCGGACCGCACTGAACGCGAGATTTTGACGGTGGCTATCGGAACATGAAGTTGAGCTTTGTGCATAGGTAGGTGTCGGCAACAGAACCGAGGTCGAAAGAAGAGGCTATGCATTTTGGGAGCGGTCGGTAAGCAAATAATGACTAGCGATACAATCATCTTATCAAGAAATATACGTCCGGATATCTTCAATCACCCCATGGAATCAACAGCTACGCGTTGCGTTGGTCAGCACATTGGGTTTGGCCGGCCCGCGAGCCTGCAGGAGAGGCTGTACCATTGGTCCTCCTGCATCCATACTAGAAGAAGCGGCTTTGAAGATTACGACCTCTCGCATATTGTTGGGCATGCCCTCGCTAAATTCCAATGTAAGCATATTCGCCTATCTGGTATGAGACGCTTCCTATCATGTAATTTTTATGCATTCGGGACATCGAAAAGATTCACGACAACAAAGGAACTCATTGTCGAACAAAAATTGCATCGTATTCTCTAAATATAAACACATCAAAGACTTTAAGCAAGTTCCAAATTGTACTTTTGTAAATCATTCCGACATTCTGCCGAGAGCATCCCCATTCAGTTTGAGATATCAATATATCACCACTAATTGGTATCTAGCTCTCTTCAAAGACGCGAATGGTCTTTATCAAAGGACATTACTGCCTTGTTGTAAGTGTTCAGACATGTCTGACTGCACACGACAAGCGTTTTAGTGCATAGCGAGACAAGACCATACTTCTTGAACTCAGTGGAGTTCAATTTGCTGTCCTCCATAACCTTGCCTGTATTGATACTGGCGTCAGTGCCGCAGGACACGAGACAGGTGGCGAGTTCCGGCGAAGTGAATGTAATGTGGTCCTTTGATTCTGGCGGGGGCCAGGTTTTCATGAATTCGGTATAGTTTGCGCGACACGGCTTGAAACAATCGACGAGGGGCTCGATACAGTCAAGGTACTTGACGTCGGCGGGCTGCACCTGGTCCATAGATGGCAGTTCGAAAATCTTCGTCGTGTTCGTGGCGATATCAGCGTTGCAATCCCCGACACAGCTACTCAAATAGTGTTCACTGTAGACTGCGGACCTAGGAAGAGCTGTCGCGGTGGTTGTAACGTAAGGGTAATTCGTGTACGTGGTGTGAGAACCGGTATGAAAGGCTTGGAAGGCTTTGTTTTGTCAGTCTTTGAGACACTGATCATTGAAATGTACCCAGTCCATACCTTGTCATCCTTGTCATCCTTGTCCTCATATTTATCATCATCATGCCACCAAGGCAAACGACAACAATGCAACGGCAAACCAAGAACGACTGTGAAACAGACGCAGAGTAGCAGTAGGGACCTCATGTTGAGAGAACGATATTATTACGCCGTCAGGGTAGAGGATGTCAGATGGCTCTTGATAGTACAGCAAAATATCGTGAAGGTGATCAGTTTGGTGACAAGCAATGCGTCTGCCTCCAGCAGTGGAGGGCACATCTTTATCATCAAACTTGGATGATAGTTGATGCTAAGGAAAAGTCTGGGTCCCAAACTTCGTTGCTTAAACTCGGGATAGCGGCTACAATAAAGCAAAGAGCGGTAGGAATCGCTCCTCCCGTGTGCCGCTCAAATGGCAGACGTTCTGGAACCACATTGCTAGTTAATAGACCCAGTTGGGTAGGCTACGCACAAGCAGAGTCTTGAAGATTAGGTATGGTTGCATAAAGTCGATCGTATTCTTGGCTAACCTTTTTGTAATTTCCAACTCCAAGTTTAAAACGAACGTGTAGCATACCTGAGTGCGCATACAGCCGTGAAGAAGATACTAAATCTACAATATTGTCCAACCATCCAACTGTCGACATGACTAGCATTAGATACAATGGAGGTATCATTTGACGTTCGCATAAGACATCTATGATGGGGTCCTCTAGAGGCAGAGATTACACGCTCCCAATTGGAATTCCCCGGACACGGAGATGTTGAATCCATCCGTATCTTACTACTAGACGAACGTTCACATCTACTTCAAACCTCCAATCGAGCATCTCTGCACCCAATAAATTCTAGCCCAATCAATAGCGTATGGGAGACCTCCGGTATTGAATCGATAATATGCAGGCTTCGGGCTAACCTCATCTGAGTATGCCGGAGCTCCTACCTACCAGGTACCGGTAGCTAGGTATGCAGGGGACTGACCTGCAGGTGTTGAGAACCCCGCTCTAGCTGAGACCGCTCGCTCTTCCTTGCGCGACATACGTGAACTTGCATAAATGAGTCTTGCACGGGTTCATGGTCAAGAATAGCCTGGGTCATACCTAGGTAAGGTTAACATCCCGATGTCAGGGCACCATAAACGGCCAAGCACAGGTAGTTCGCCCATGGAACTTGGCCTTCGCAAATTTCACTACATAGGATGACAAGAACACCATGGAAAAGGACCCTGGTACCCTGGTACTGTCGAGACGCGGTGAGAGCCTTCACTAGTATTCACGGTGAATCAGGCTTCCCGTGCTCTGATTGGGCAAGCACTGATTAGTCAGCTGCTCCGTGCGCGCACCATAGATATTCTCCCTCCTCCCGTAGCTCCAATACAACAAGTTCACGCACGTTTCTCCACCTTCATCAGGTACCCTGATCCACGAAGCAATGTATGAATGAGCTCACCGTTTTGGCGTTAGATGGGGAGGGTCGCAGGATTGCGTTTAAGCGAGCATCATGAGAAGCATTCCCTGCATCTCAACAGATAACAACAAGGAATCAAGTAGCTATCTACTATGAATATTGTGGTAGAAGGATAGTCAGAAGAGAGGCTGCCGACCCGCAATCGGTAGAGAGTAGAGAACAAGAAGGTATCCGAGTAACAATCGGTAGTATTAAGAATGGTGTACAATAAGATGTCGGGCTCCTCTATGTGGAGTCGTCCTAAAATACTCAACCCTAGCGCCGATTACCTAACGCCGAACACGTGACAAGCTACTACACCACAATATATATATATGTGATCTTTCGGCACGAATTTTGTGGTCATTACCTCATAAACTCATTCATTTTCAGACGACCAGATATATCCTAAACGACAGCCCTGAGGCTCCTATATTCATCTGCATTGCCAAATTCCAGGATGTGGATATTCCTCTGGAGTAAACTCTTGCTCCTCGGACATATCATCCTGGCTGTTGCATCTTCAAACATTGCTTCACGTCAGAATGACCGAAAAACCGAAGACTGCATGTAAAATCCTTATTGCAACAATACCGAAGATACTCGTGAATGGCATAACGATTGCGGATTTCAGAAACCCAGCTTGGATCTATGGAAAGCTAACCTCGATGATGATTATGATTGGCTAAACACAAAATTTCGCGACTATAAATAACTGCAAAAGCAAGAGAACAGAATCCAGCGAGATGAGTTGACATTTCCTGCCTACATGTTAAAGCGGTATGCACCAAACGCTCCACCTAGCAGCATGGTTTGTGATAGTTTAGGCATGTGTAGAGTCAGTATTGCATTATATCTATTATACGCATCCCATCAAGCTAATTATGTAAAGGCCCCAAGCTGCAAAGATATCGGAGAAAAGCATGACCTGACTGTGAAAAGTCGAGCTATGTTATTTTTTGAATTCGTTTCCGGTCTCGATCACATGTATCATGTGTCGAACGCACAGTCCGCAACAATCAATTAAGTGGGTCCTAGAAGGTTCAGATTGGATTGATTGATTACCGCTTTAAGCCTAGTAGTTACCTATAGGAGTTTAAGCCCTACCTAGATAGGTAAGTGGGTCTAGGAGAGTGACCGGATTGAATTGATTGTTGCGGAGTCTAGTCGAACGAAGCTGCTCAAGATCACTTTCGTCACATGCATGCGAACATAGACGGCCTTACGAAAGCCTTCACATATGCTGATAAACAACAAACGCGTGCTGTTGATAAAGAGAAAGAAAAAGAAAAAGGAGAAATATATCAAATTAGGGGTTGAAATCTTTGCTGTCATTCTCGCCATTGTCTCCTTTGGTTCCTCTCTTGCCGCTCTCGTTCCAGCAGAAGTGGCATTAGGCGTTCAAAAGCTTGGGGAAGCATCGAGATTAGCGGCAGTTATACAACGCCCCCTGATGTTCGTGCAAAGACTGGGAGCGGCTAGCATAGCCTCATCGGAAGGACTTCACGTTCTGCAGGACACACATATAACGCAGTTGACCAGTAAGTATCCAAGCTAAAGAGAGAATAACCCTGGGTTTAACACACCTATCAGAAGAGTGGCTGGTCCTTAGTAATCTTCTGAGCGTCGGAAAATTAGTGGCGAAGCACAAGTATACTAAACATATCAATCACAAGACAGATTTGTAAGAAATGTCGCACCAAAGATTCTTCTGAAGCTAATACGGTCAAGCATGGATATGATATGACTTTAGCCGCATTTAGGGCAACCTTTGCCGAACTTGACATGCACGCCACTGCGGTAACCAAGACCGGGATGGAGTCTCTCGTCTCAGGAGACTCGTCAAATGGAAAAAATATTGTGCAACTGTACAAAGAATCCTTCTTTAATGGGGCTAGTCCCTACTTTCGAAGAATGGTTGATTTCTAATTAGAGATGAGATCCTGCGCACTCATCATCAACACTTTATGGTATGCCACTCCCAAATTAAAGCCAAGGTTTCCAAGGTGTTCTAATGACTTGTAGGAGATTTGAAGGCGTCTTCGTTGTAGAGAGTATGGCCTATCAGAACGATTGCAGCCTTGACAATCGTGGGCCGCCAGAGAACAAAGTGTGTTTAGAAGAGCGCCCCGATCACTCTTACTGGATCCAGGCAATCACACATTACGACGACGAGAAAATTCGAGAGCCTCCCAGCATGCAACTCTTAAAGGGAAAAGAAGAGTTCCACGGGATTCACCTGAGCGACGTAGTACGGTCGTCATTCTGGTGGGAAGAGATAGTTGACCCTAGGCAAGGCGATCCGGAGAAAAGATCCTCGGATGGTAACCCGAAGACCGATATCCAGCTTCTCACGGACTATGGCAATGTACCTGGGGAGTTTCACCTGCCCATTTGCCGTAGTTGGTTTGGCGAGGCCATTACTGCCATCGACACTAAAAAAGGCATAAATGCTCCTCGCCAATGCGATGCTCCTAACAAAGCAGACGCGGCGAAATGGGGAAGCTCCAATCAGTGGACTATGTTCTATACCCAAAAAGCGATCAGAGTTGGCAACTGGTACAACTTCGGAAATTACGGAAAGATGTGTAGAGGCGAACATAAATGCAGTAAAGGAGGTAGTTGGGAGACCATTTTAGAACTGCAAGCAGATGATAAACCTGTAAAGGGAATGAAGGAGGCTTGGAGTATTGGCTGCGTGCCCAATGCGCATGGGTCATACGAATTAAGACCGCGGCAGCTCACAGATCCCGAACTGACTGAGACTTCCTTGAAACTTCAAGATACAGTTTCTTCGACCCCCGAGACCACTAGAGCTCCTATAGTTCAGATAAAAACCCAGGAAACGACGAACTCAACCTGTTGGTCTACCAATGCCTCTACGGGTATCGAACATCAAGGCCCATGCAATGGACCTGAATGCATCATCGACACAATCTATGCGCTCGTCGAGCGCAAGTTTGGATACCATGTCAACTCTTCCGAGGCTCTCAATGGTTTCCCTTGTCTATCGGGTGACGATTGGTGTGTTGAGGACACGGCACACAACCTCTGCGAAGACCTTTCAGACGAAGAAGATGCAGCTGGAGAGCTGGGAACAGGATGGGAATAGTAGACACCTTTCGGAAACAAGAACAAAACATCGAATGAAGATCAGGACAAGATGGTGCTTATCAAGAAGATTGAACTAGTGAACAAACGACACGCTTTTTTCTGTGGCAGGAATGGTACTGGGGGGCAGTTCGGTATCGACTGTTTTCCCGACAGTGCAAGCACCAGGATGGTCACCATTACGGGTACAACGCCGCCCATGAGCCGCCCATCCCTTTCTGCAGGCTCTCCCATGGTGTTTCCCTCCCCCAGCCCGGTGTTCACCACCGTGCCGACATACGTCGCAACTCCTCTACCCACACTTCGGTAGCTTGTCAACCAGATAGTTCAGGCCACTGGAATCAAGGGCGAGCAGAGTGGTGGAGGCAGCCATTTGGGCTTTTGGTAGATTGTGGTAACAGGCCAGGTCATCTGCGTGGGTTTTTGGCGATTCTTGATAGTATATCGTTAGTCAATTGAGTCGCCACTTGTCTACACATTCACATCAAATGTCCGCATTGCTTTGTTACCGGTGACTTGAGTAAGCACCACTAACCGCTGATAGCATAGTTTTATAGTCGAGTACTCTGCTGCCATGGACCACATCGACTCCAGCTGTCGGCCATGGCGACTTTGGACACTGCCGTGTGCTCGCCATCTTCCCGCATCGCCATAAAAGATGTTCTAGATTCCGCAAATCATGCGACAGTAACGACGGAAGACCACAGATCTTGACGACTGGATAGAGGCGCATTGTTGAAGTTTCGCGAACCTACAGCGATGGCGAGATCTGCACTAGTCTACTTATGCTAAGCCTAGAACAGTTAGCGTAGTCTACGCTCAGGAAAGATCACCCCCACGACACCGATGACGACTCGTTGACGACTGCGATAATTCCCATCACGCCCTCGTATCCCCCTATGCTCCCACCGCCGCGGTCATAGTCCATGACCAAAAATGTCGCGTCGCGGTCAATGCCAATGCGCGCATGACTTGCGTGTGATATCTGGATCATCACTCCCTTTTCCTACATCATGACTAGACCTTCGCCAACTTAATGTGCGCATCTCGATTGTGGCGTTGACGTAGCTGCAGAGTCGAACGTGATACGCGAGAGGTGTGATGGAGTGGTGTGGAGTGCAGCCATTATTGAGCATGATCTGCGAGCGAAGGATTCCGAGTTTGCCGCCTGGGGGAGAGGAGTTTTTTGGGAAAGACGTCAGTCATCTGGGAAATCAGGAGGTAGGTTTAACGTTAGTTTTATTCTTCCTAACTCGTTACTCCTCACTCGTGTCTCCCGTCTTTTGCTTGCTTACGCATCCATCGTCGAGATTCTGTGGAACGCTGCTTCTCGCGTGTTATTGTAATTTAGTTCTCTTTCTTGACTTGCAACTCGAGCGCTGATATATCTTACCTATATAAATTAAAGTCCAAACTCCGTTCCGTCATGGCACTCAAAAACATACTCCCGCTACATCGAAAAGACCCATCCTCTACATCGTCCCGCGATGCTAGAAGTTCGTGGAAGACGGCAAATCGATGGCGCATTGAGTTGATTGCTGCAACCTCTGAGTTCGCGGGAACCTTCATGTTCCTCTTCTTCGCGTTCGGAGGCACAAGCATAGCTCAAAACAGCCAAGAGGCGATGTCTAGCAGTGGAACAGCACCAAACACAAGCGTACTGTTGTACATAAGTTTGATCTTCGGATTCAGTCTCATGGTGAATGTGTGGATCTTCTTCCGCGTGAGTGGCGGCCTCTTCAATCCAACCGTAAGTTCCCCCTACCTCAATTCAACGCCCAAATTAATCAAATCAAGGTGTCCCTTGGCCTCTATCTCATCAACATCATCCCCCTCCCCCGCGCCATTTTTCTAACCATCTCCCAACTCCTTGCCGGTATTGCTGCAGCTGCAGTAGTGTCCGCCATCCTCCCTGGCCCCTTAAACGCTAGCACTACCCTGCAGGCCGGCATGACACCCGCACAAGGCGTCTTCCTAGAAATGTTCATGACTTCTTTCCTCGTCTTCACAATCTTCATGCTAGCAGCCGAAAAACACAAAGCCACCTTCCTCGCCCCCATCGGCATCGGCCTCTCCCTCTTCGTCGCAGAACTGCTGGGCGCTTTCTACACAGGCGGCAGCTTGAATCCCGCGCGCAGCCTGGGACCAGCAGTTGTAACACGCAGTTTCCCCAGTTACCATTATGTTTACTGGGCGGGACCTGTTATGGGGACCTTGTTGGCATGGGCTGTGTATAAGCTTGTTAAGGTGGGAGGTTATCAGACGGTCAACCCGGGTCAAGATTTTGACGATAATGAGATGAGGATGTTTGACCCACCAGAGCATCCACAAAGCGAGGCGCAGGTTGAGAGGCCGAATGTGGCGGCCGAGGGTGTGGCGGATGCTTTGAGAGTAGGAAGTCGAAGTGAGAGGGGCATTAGTGAAGAAGGGAAAGAGAATATTAATGGTTAGCGGTGAAGCGCTTGGATGCACCTTGGAGAGGAAAGAGTCTCTTAGAATATAGAAGAGATAAGCAAATAGAAACGAATAGCATAAAGCAATCATAAGGCAATCAATGTGCGGTTGAGTGACAGTATTCGAACGGATGATATTTCGTTCTCTATCGCTATTTTCTCTTCATGCAGCACACAAATATAGTTTCGTCGCCACCCCGCAGGATCTCTCATCTTGTCTCTTTCAGCCTGGCTCCAGTCTGAGTTGTTGTGTTTGGACTTTTGATCATGGTGGATGTTCTGTGAGGCCTATTTTAGACCATCGTTCCTGTGTAGTCGCCTAAATAAGCACTTTTGACACCAAAGCGTCCTCTAGGCCATATAACTGACATGTCGAACAATGCTGGGAACCAATCTAGGCAGTTGGGCGATTTCATCAATATCGGTTGTACTGCAAGTTGTGATTAGGCTTGCCTACAGGGTTATTCCAGGCCATGTAAATCTCATTGTTCCATCTCATCGCCGTCCGCTTCATCATATTCGCCTTCAACGGTATCGCCTTCTTCATAAACCCCTTCACCTCCTTCACCTTCTTCGTCCTCACTGTCAGAGCCAGACCCTTCGCTTTCGCCTTCGCTTCCAGGGTCAAAGTCGTCATCCTCTTCCTCGTCGTCTTCTTGGTCCTGTAACTCTCTCTCCGCTTTCTGCAGCTCGCTCTCTTCCTCCTCGCCTGCAGCCTCGGGCTCAGTGCCATTTGCTACATCCTTCTTGCCTCCTACTTTGTTCACATTCAGCTTCTTGGCTCGTCGATCGTCCGCTAAGCTCGCATCCTGCAGTCCATGCTTCTGCACATAGTCGTTGATGCCGGCAAAGTTCGCCTGGTCGAGCATACCGAATTCGATGTCTCCCGTGGGTGTGGTGATGACAAGGTTGAACGTATTGCGCAGAACGGCGGTGTAGGAAATGCTGTTTATCGCGGCAAAGTCAAAGAAGGCAAGGGGCTTTTTGAAGCCGTAGAGGATACCGATTTCCGTGAAAAACAGGTAACCTAGCGTATGTCAGTACGGGCTCTGTTTTGGGGCGAAAAACATGGTTACACACCCTCTTTGCTTCCCCGATGCGCCTTGACGTGATAAGCTTTCTCGCCCTTCCTGTGACTTTCCGGCACGGCACTTGCAAACTCATCGGCGTCTGGAAAGATGACCTGCTTGCCGGTGCCTGCTTGTTTTAGACAGTGCTGAATTGCCTCGGCCATTGGTCCAGGCCCGGGGTCCTCGCCTTCGACGATGTTCTTTCCTGTCGCTTCCTCAAATGTCCAAACTATGGGCTCTGGTGGTGAAGCCTTGAGCTCATCGGGCACTGGTGCCACTCCATCGCCGTAGACGGGGATGATGACGAAGTTGTGCTGCTTCTTGGCCTTCTCTGGAATGGGCAGGCAAAGGACCTGATCCACGTTTTTCCACGCAATGGCAAACTCGACACTGCCATTGGCGCCAATCGCCCTGATGCCGCCGTCCTTTTTGTCGAGTAGCTCGAGAATGAACCTTTTCCGTTGTGGTATTGAAAAGCTAACGCCGGGGAATGTCTTGAATGCTTTCGTTGTGACACTGATCAAAGTGCCGCTCGTTGCTGGAGCCTTGTTTTGCGGAACATCGTTCTCCTCGAGCTTGCGCTTCTTGGCCGCTGGTTCATCGACAGGTTGTGACGCCTGATTGAGTATGTACGTGGATATGTCGCGGAATAGTGTACTTTGAGAAGGATTCTGGTCTACTGGTCATAAGCATACGGTTTGTTGAGAGCGCAATAACAATGCATACCTATGGCAGCATGCACGCGCTTTCGCAGCTC